ACCTTTTATATGTTTAATGTTGTTAATATACCGTTTCACTGCTGTATTCTTTAGGCTTCTTGAAGTGTAATACATACACACACACACACACACATATATATATATATATATATATATATATATATATATATATATATATATATATATATATATGGATTTTTGAATTTGTAGGTCTGATGAATTGGAACTTGTTTACGATTCAAATGTAATAAATTATAACCATGGAATATTAGTGTTTAAGCCTTTTATATTATATTCTTACTCTGTCCTGGACATTGTGTTCTACCTGGATTCTATCCTCTTGCGAATTTATGTAGTGTCACCAAATATCCGTTTTCATCTCCTTACCATTCCACGCTACTCTGGCAATTTTGAGTACGTCATCCCTTGCTATGCTCTCCTCTCTCCCAGTAAGATCTGCCATAATTTATCGAAGGTTCAAAAGTGTACTTTCAGAAAAGGAAGTGTTTCACCCAGTCTGCATTTAATACTTCGACAGTCCTGGGTATGACAATTAACTACATCTGGCAGCAAGACCTCTTATCTGAAGGATTTGAGGAGTGTGGAATTACCTCTTCATTGTTGTTGTTCCCAGATCCACATGTTAGGGTCCCAGCTATGGGTAAATAGGGAATCCCTAAACTGAGGTAAAAAATAAAAATATAAAAATACATTTTCATAGTAAAAAAAAAGAAAAAACCAGCAACAGCTTTTTGTAAAAAGAAAAAAGAATACTCAAGATTAAAAAAAATAGATTTCGGCATTAAATGACCCATGAGGAGTTGATAGGCCGTTAAACAAACGAAAAGAAATACTTGTAATTGCTTAAAGAAATCGAAAAAGAAAACGAAAATATAGTTGCCTCGTTGACAATTGAATGTTGTTTTAATTTAACGTTTCTATGGACATGTTTTTAATTTTGTGACACAAAGAAGAATTTTAAACAATAAAATTCATTATTTTTTTTCAAAACTGCCGGTACTGTGGAATACTCCCTTGACACATTAATTTGTTTTTGTCATGCAGTAGACTGTTCTCATTTGAATGTGAGATGGCAGGCACCCAGTCCCATGGATTCTACCTTTCTTCCATATTGCACTAAGAGAGGTGGAGTCAGTGCAATATCAACGTCAGCGTGACCGTAGTGGAAGGGACTGAACACTTTTAGTCCTTTGTCAGCATGCATACGTATGTGTATGGCCCACGTAAAAAACGACCTTGTGTCACATTACGCTTTAGTGCGGAAGCCAGGTAAATATATAAATATATACCATGGACTCTTATTAAAAACTTAACACTGCTGTGTCTTCTTCCTTTCTACAGAAACGTTTTGTCGTTATGTTATTTATGCTTTCTTGTGTTTGTTTTTTGTGTCTGTTTACAACAAAAGGCCGCTACATATTACTGCTAGGGGCTGCTGAGTTTTGATGAACAAGAAAAAAAAAGGAGAAACACTAGGAAGCGAGAAGAAAAAAGTGTAAACAAGACAGTAGATAACGGTTGACATTACATTTAAATTTTTGATGATCAAAGTTGGTTGGAAAGCATAAAGCCGGAAGAGAGTTTCACAAGAGGGAGTTTACAGAGAAAAAAATTTAAGCGAGAACTGCACGAAAAGAAACTGTTAGCATAGAACTTCCGGTTACATTTGCACAATTCAACTGTGAATTGATGAGACCTTATTGCCAATCTAGTACTGCGTTTAAATTCATTAAGTATAGGTACCATAGCGAAGAGTTCATTCGGACAATTATAATGAAAGTATTTATAGAAAAGCACAGGTGGTGTGAAAGTGGCCAAATCCGCGATGCCAGGTCAGGATCGATCACATAGCAGATTCTTCTTTGGATTTTATCCAGAGTCTCTAAGTATACCACAGGAGCATCAGATCATATATGGCAACAATATTCAAAGCATTGTCAAATGATTAACTTATGAATATGTAAGATGTTTTCTACATTGCGGTGGGAAATTGTCTGAATCCGAGATGCCATGTCACGACCAGTAATGTTGCTCATTCTTCTTTGGATTTTATCTAGAATCTCTAAATACAAATTTAATCAAAGTTGGTTGGAAAGCATGGAACCGCGGTAGAGATCCACAAGCGAGAAATGCGAGAAAAGAAACTGTTAGCATCGATCTTACGCGGTTACATTTGCCGAGAGGCCATTAACTGTTTACTTCTATATGAAGCAGATTACTCTGGATTAACTCGGTATATAACCGTGTATAAGTCGAGTTGTTAAAACCAATATCAAAATTGAAGGCTACCTATAATTTGGTAATAATGTTTTTAGATTGAAATCTGTGCACGATAGGAGGATCGAGTAGCAAATCTAAGCTTCAGATATGAAAACTATTCTTCATTTATATATTTCACTTAATGGAATTAGAAGGGCAGGTTGATTTTTCACTTTCTTTAGAAAATCAAAATAGCACTCAATGTAAAAGCTGGGGTTTCAGGTGAGTAGTGACACCAAAAATTAGATTTATAGCTTTT